GGCGGGGCGGGGCCGGGGTGGGGCGGGGCCGGTGTTGCATTCCTGTATCAGACCCCACCCTTCTCCCCCTTGGCTCTCGGGCTGGGACCCCCAGCTTTAGCTCTTGCAGTCGCCGACGAAGGTAGGTGCTACAGAGCCGTGGGCCTGACCAGCCGCTCCAGGCTCTTTCTCTCTGAGTCCCCCTGCCGATCCTTCCAGGCTTACTGTCGGGCTTCTGCCCCGCCTCCTCCCTGCCACTGACCCACACGTCTGAACTCAAAGTCGTGGGATACCCCTCTCCAAGACCTCTAGGGATTCGGGCGGGATTCGGAGTCAAGACCTACCCCATGTTCCGCCCCAGCCTTCCAGGGTCTCTAGCCCCGTGCACAAAGAATGCCCCTCGCTTTCCCGCCGGACTTAAAAGTCGGGTCTCCCGTTCGGTTACTCTGTGCCAGAGACCATTTCCCTGCACGCCCAGGGTGCCGGGTCCCTCTCCTCAAGTCCTCCTCGAGTCCCTCTAGACCCTCTAGGTCAAACCACCTCCCTGCCTGCCCCACTGGGCTGTGTCCCTAGTCCCCCCCCAAGCCAAACATCTCCCCCACTGAGTGCTGCTTCCCTGCGTGGGTAGATCCCACAAACCAGAGCCCTCCCATCTTGAGACTCACTCTCTTCCCGCCCCACAGCCGGGAATGTCCATCTCTAAAGTCGTCCTGTCCCCATAGCTCCTCCAGCTCCCTTGCCCTGACTTCTTTGCTCCTTTGGGAGTTTTCTCCCTGCCTAGGAGTCTCCAGGCCACAGTTTGGAGGGTTGTGTAACCTCAGGCCAGCTGAAGTCTCTCTTGGTAGGAGGGGTCAGCCTCCCTCTTTTGCTTAGCAGGGTTCCTCTTCTTGGGTCCCCACCACCACCACTATCCATCCCTACATAGTCCCTCAGCCACAGCTGCCTGCTGCTGGATGTCCCTTCACTTCCAGTCACTTCATTGCCCACTGTCTTCCAAGTAGCCTGGTCAGGCCCTGGATGAGAGCCCTCCCTGGGTCAGTACCTCTGCCTGGAGCCCTTACCCTAAAATGTCTCACTTGAACCCAGGCCCATTCAACCCCCTTCATCTGTTGCTCAGGCTAGAGTACCATGGCATCAGCCTAGCTCACAGCAACCTCAAACTCCTGGGCTCAAGTGATCCTCCTGCCTCAGCTTCCCGAGTGGCTGGGACAACAGGCACTTACCACAATGCCCAGGCAATTAATTTTTTTTCTATCCTTTTTTTTTTAGAGATGGGATCTGACTTGGGTATGCTGTTCAGGCTGGAGTGCTGTAGCTATTCACAGGTGTGATCCCTTCTCTGATCAGCACAGTTTTGACCTGTTCTGTTTCTGACCTGGGCTGATTTTCTTCTCCGTAGACAACCTGCTGGTCCTTCACTCCCAGGAGTCACCATATTGATGCCAAATATAATGCAGATACTGGATCAGCACAGCACATAACAGCTCAAAACCTGGGCTCAAGTGATCCTCCCTCAGCCTTCAGAGTAGCCAGGACTACAGGCACATACTCATGCCCAAATGCCTAAAATTGTTTTTTTGTTTTTTTTTTTTGAGACAGAGCCTCAAGCTGTCCCCCTGGGTAGAGTGCCTGGCATCACAACTCACGGCAACCTCCAATTCATGGGCTCAAGCGAGTCTCCTGCCTCAGCCTCCCAAGTAGCTGGGACCACAGGCATCCACCACAATGCCTGGCTGTTTTTTTTAGTTGCAGCCATCATTGTTGTTTGGCTGGCCTGGGCTGGATTCGAACCCACCACCTTAGGTATATGTGACTGGCGCCTTAGCCACTTGAGCCACAGGCGCTGAGCCCCTAAAATTGTTAATTGCTGTATAGTAATGTTTGCCCAGCCTCTTTCCATGGGACCAAGCTCTGGCAGGACAGTTCCAGATCTTCCAGCCTCCACTGGGCTCCCAGGAAGCACATGCAGTAATGGGATTGATGGGCCCCTGCCTTCCTTGAGTTACAGCCACAGGCATTGTCCTTGTCTCCCTGCAGAGCAGAAACCTCTGTCTTAGCTGGTATTCAAGGCCTGAGGCCAGGCATCATGTGCCCCTTGCCAGCCTCAAGTCCCCCTAGGGTCTCACAGCAATGCACTTGGAAGAACCAGGCCTTTGCAGGTTGTAACCTGGTTGGTGGGCTTTCCTGGTGGACTGCCCACATTCTAGGGGACAGAGAAACCTAGATTCCATGGTCCATAGTGAATCATTGACATATAGGGGATCAGGGTGGGAGAGGGAGCAGGGAAGGAGTGGGGTATGGGCAGGACAGGGTGTTGGGAGTGAAGAAAGGAAGAGCAACATCAGGGCTATTGATGGTGACAGATTGGGAAACTAAGGCCAGAGTGGGGCTGGCCTTGGGACATACCTTTGTGAGTGTTCACACACATTTCTTAAAGAGAAATGACCCTGACCGTTCATTATTCCATGGAGAGGAATTATTCCACAGCTGGGTGGCTTATATCCTGGGCTCAGGCCCTCCCTTTCATCCTGCCTCTTTCTCCTCCCAGGCCCTACTCATGCCCCTTGCCTCTGATGGACAAAGAAAACTACACTACAGAGAAGCCTGAGGGGGGCCACAGCACCCGGCCTAGTTCATTCCAGTCCAGTGCCACCAACACTGGGGCACCTGGGGCATGGGCAGGTGGGGTTTAGTGGCTCAGCACACAGGTGTCCAGCCAAGAGAAGTCTGAAAAAGCTTGAAAGAGAACAAGGGAGGGCTTGTGAGTTAAAAACACAGGAAGATTCAAATCAGAGGAAATCTCTCAGAACAAACAAAATAAAGCAAAACAGCCAGAACTGAGAATTGGAAGAGTAAAGGGGAAAATAGAGGATTGATTCAGGAGTTCCAGATGGGACAGAAGAAAATGAAAGGAAGTTGTCAAAGAAAGAATAGGAGGGAATGCCCAGGACTGTGGAACCAGAGTCTCTAAAGAACTAGGACCCTGCAGCTTATCCTGGGGACATATGTCTAGGGTCAAATCCCAAAGGATCAGGAGGGAGAATGGCTCTGTTCCAAGGAAAGGTGATAGCAGATCCCCAAATGTGTGTGAAGAGGAAGAAAGAATCAAAGTTTTTTAGACCGTCAAGATTTTTGCTAATTAGTTTAGTGTGCTAGAGGATGTGCTCCAGCAAAACGAGAGATAAGTAAATGAAAAGACAGGTTCTGCTCCAGGAAGGTCCAGAAGAAACCTGAGGATGGTAGTGGAGGGTTTGACTGTGTTGAATTGTTGAGGGTCTGGGGGTAGGGAGGGTTTCAGCTATCAGGATTAGAGGTGAATGCCTGTGTCAGCACACAATCAGGGATACGTGAACACTGGCCTGTGGATGTTTGCAGGATTTATTGATAATGGCCCTTGAAGCCATGTATTTTTTAAATTTTAAAGTCTTAGGCTAGAGGTGGTGGCTCATGCCTTCAAAGCACTTTGGGAAGCTGAGGTGGAGGATCACTTGATGCCAGGAGTTTATTTTTATTTTTATTTTTTATTTTTTATTTCTTGAGACAGAGCCTCAAGCTGTCCCCCTCAAGAGTGCCATGGCATCACAGCTCACAGCAAACTTCAACTCCTGGGCTCAAGCGATTCTCTTGCTTCAGCCTCCCAAGTAGCTGGGACCACAGGTGCCTGCCAGAACGCCCGGCTATTTTTTGGTTGCAGCCATTGTTGTTTGGTGAGCCTGGGCTGGATTTGAACCCGCCACCTTAGGTGTATATGGCTGGCGCCTTAGCCACTTGAGCCACAGGTGCTGAGCCTTTATTTTATTTTATTTTAGAGACAGAGTCTCAGTTTGTCATCCTCGGTACAGTGTCGTGGTGTTATAGCTCATAGCACCTCAAACTCTTGGGCTCAAGTGATCTTCTTGCCTTAGCCTCCTAAGTATCTGGGACTGAGGCCTTTGCCACAATTCCTGGCTATTTTTATATTTTATTTTATTTATTTAGAGACACAGTCTCACTATGTCACCCTTGGTAGAGTGCCGAGCAGTCACAGCTCACAGCAACCTTAAACTCCAGCTTAAGCGATTTTATTTTATTTTTATTTTATTTTTATTGAATGGTAACTATGTACATTAATGCACTTCTGGGGTACAGTGTGGGGTTTTCACACACAATCCGAAATACTTCCATCAAACTGGTTAACA